AGAGAATACTATGAAAATTAGGTGATAACAAACTGAATAGCCTAGAAGCAATGGACGATTTTCTAGAAAAAAACAATCTTCCAAGGCTGATCCAGGAAGAAAGAGAAAATCTGAATAGACCAATGACCAGGAAGGAAATTGAATTGGTATACATATTGTTGAGACAATTGGAAAATAATTTAAACAATAAAATATATCTGTACTCCCACATCATTTAAAATGTTAAAGATCTCATCTTCTTATGTTGACAGACAGTAGCTGTTTTAGTGGGGGTGAGGATTTAATAATACAGTTAACTGTTGAAGCACTGTGTTGTATACCTAAAACTAATATAAGATTGTGAACCAATGCTATTTCAATTAAAAAAATTTAGAAATCTCCAAAATAATACATTCACTATAAAAACAAGGGGTACCTTTGTTAATAGGACATTTAAAATTATGACAGAATTTGAGTAAAATACAAAGACTGATAAATCTAAGTGCATAAAATATGAAGAGTTCTTCCTAGAAAGATTAACATGGACTTAAAAGTCAAATAAAAGCTTGGAAAATATGTCTAATTCATATTACAGAAATGTGAAATGAAAAGTGATAATTTGATTATTTTTAAAGAAAAGAACAATAATTGGACAAAAGGAGCTAGCTACCTTGATCTGAAAATTAAGAGAAAAAAATAAAACATAACAGTAGGCCTTATCTATCTAAATACAGCTAAGCATATTCATAATAATGACATATACATTAAAACTACACAAAAGTACCATTTATTATTTATTGAACAGGAAAAATATTCAGAAGATTGACAGTATCCTAGATTGGCAAGGCCAAGGAGAAGTAAGCCCTGTATAACACTACAGAACAACATACAGCACTTCTATGAAAAATAATTCAAGTATCTAAGAAATTGCCCAATAATCCATTAATTTTATTTCTACCAGTGTATCTTGGCAATAGGTCCACACAATTTATTATTCATCCTATTAATCATTATCTGTAAGTAAAATATCAGAGTGGTCTGAGTGAGATTTATCCTAAAATGAAAACAGCAATGTACTGATAAATGTGTAAAATAAACTCCTTCCTATATCAAAGAAATAGATTAGTGAACACTGGGGGGATGTGAGAAACTTAAAAAATTATAACTTAAATGAGGAAACAAGAATGGTGTATGGAAGGAAGACTACTTTGCATAGACCCTTCTTTTTTTTATTAAGGTATTATTGAGATACATTTTTATGAAGGTTTCTCATGAAAAAACTGGTTACTACATTCGCCCATGTTATCATGTCCCCCCCATACCTCATTGCAGTCATTGCCCAACAGTATACTAAGATGCCACAGAGTCACAATTTGCCTTTTCTGTGCCAAACTGTCTTCCCCATGATCCCCCCCCATACCGTGTGTGCCAATCACAGTACCCCTCAATCCTCTTTTCCCTCCCTCTCCATCCACCCTCTCCACCCCTCCCCTTTGGTAACCGCTAGTCCCTTCTTGGAGTCTGTGAGTGTGTGGCTGTTTTGTTCCTACAGTTTTGCTTCGTTGTTATACTCCACAAATGTGGAAAATCATTTGGTACTTGTCTTTCTCTGCCTGGCTTATTTCACTGAGCATAATATCCTCCAGTTCCATCCATGTTGTTGCAAACGGTAGGATTTGTTTCTTTCTAATGGCTGAACCACATCTTTTTTATCCATTCATCTACTGATGCTTCCATATCTTGGCTATTGTAAATAGTGCTGCAATCAACATAAGGGTGTGTATATATTTTTGAATCTGAGAAATTATATTCTTTGGGTAAATTCTGAGGAGTGGAATTCCCGGGTCAAATGCTATTTCTATTTTCAGTGTTTTTAGGAACGTCCATACTGCTTTCCACAATGGTTGAACTAATTTACATTCCCACCAGCAGTGTAGGAGGGCTCCCCTTTCTCCACATTCTCGCTAGCATTTATTGTTCTTAGTCTTTTCGATACTGGCCATCCTAACTGCATAGACCCTTCTTGTATCATTTTTACTTTAAACGTGTGGGTAGGCACACACCTGATCATCTACATTTGCCCCCTTACAGCACTAAGTAATGTTTTCTACCTTTATCTTGGATCTGCCTACCACTTCAGCATTTTATTAATAATAATAATAATAATAATAATGGAGAAATGTGGGATTCACATTTAAATCAAGTATAAAAATCAAACGAATAATCATATTTGACCTGATTGTTTATAGTTCATGATGCATGATCAAAACCGAAAGTTTCTGTGATATGATTGCCCTTTCACTGTTCACCATGTAAGAACTTGTTCGTTATGCTTCAGAAGATTGGAGACTGTTGAGAATTAGGATTGGGGTTGATTAATGATTGTGCATTGAGTCCCCTATACAGAATTTTATTGTTGTTAACAGCCATTTGATCAATAAATATGAGATGCCCTCTCAAAAAAAAAAGTTAGACTAAAAAAAGCAACAAAGCTAAAATTGAAAAAACAATATTAATGCAAATAAATGTAATACTCTTAATTTAGTAATGAGCCGGCCAGAGATTAAAATTACTTCAAATCTTTTTTGAAGAAAGTATTTACATTTAGAGTTGAATATTCTGGGTCAAATAAATGCAAAGGCATTTTAAACTTTGTTTAGTAGTTTAATTGCTAATAATAATGTTTGCATAATACTCTTGATGTTATCTTCATGAATATTGAAGTATAAGGGTATTATATTTAAGTAAGTAAATATATAACTAAAAAGAAATGTGTTAACACATTTTTAACCATGTATTACTAAAATTTAATTGCAAAATCCAATAAGAACTAATGAATTAAAAATTTTATTTCTATTTCAAATCTCTGACAGCACAAGACCCTGGAAATAAAGAGATTTAAACAGAATTGAACACTCCTATCTAGCACCAATAACACAATTCTTGGATTCTAAACATTATTCCAGGATGAAGAAAATCACACCTTTTTGGAAAGATATCTGATTAGGCTGTAGGGGGCAGTGGAAGCGTACAATAGGCCTGGAACATCATGTTATGTTAAAAAGAAAATAAATGCTCAAGGACGAATGGAGGCATATCAAATCAATTAGGAGCCAGTTTCAAGACGCACCCACTCGTCAAATTTGGGATAATTTGAACTTAAAAGAATAATTAGTGTAATTGATTGTGACAAATTAAATAAAAATTCATGAATCTGTGCTGATACATTTTAACTAAAGAAAGAAAAATTATCTTTAAAACCATCATGGAAGGTCACTATTATGCCAAGTCCTTACTCCAAAAATTGGAAATTAAAGGGAAAAATTAAAGATTTATGAAATCTCACAGGCAAGCTTAAGTTAAACAGAGCTGGTAAATTAATACTTATTTTTACACAAAAATGATTATTTAAATATTCAGAAAAATGATAGAGTTGACTGTAAAAATCACTTTTTTATAGCCAACAATGAAATAATTGATTTCAAGCTAGTTTCAGAAATAGATTCCACCAACATTAAGTGAATGGTTTGCACAGGTAGTATATACACAAACGCTAATATGAACAGCAAAGATGTTGCCAGTTGTAACAGTCCGCCTTTCAATGTGGGGGATCTGGCTGTTTCTAGAGGTTCAGATTCAGATAAATGGGCTTCCCTAGTGACAGCAGGCTTCTAATGCTAAGAATGCCACTTGGCTTGATGTGAAATTAAGTAATAAGATACCACCTTAAAATATTTTTAACTTAATTATTTGTATCTTTATTTTCATCTTAAAGTTTTCAGGTTTTGTAAAAATTGAAATGTTTATTATGGTCAACTGATTTTAACTAATTATGTTATTTGTAATGTATGGAGATAAAAGTCAAATTTTAGACTCCTGTTGGATGTTTCCAAAACCCTCTATACCGGCAAAATCTTGAAAATATTATTATATCTAAACATTATTACTACAGAGGTCTTCATATCTCTTAACATGTATTGTCTTTTTATATATCTTTATTTTAAAATAACATACTCTTGTGATTCAAAGGTGGTAGTATTAAAGATAGAGAGATCGGAGAATATAGATATGTATAAAGGAGTTAAACACTGAGTCTTAATTCATTATCTCTAAATTCAACTACAGTTATTGTAAATACTCTGCCACTCTTTGTTCTATTAACATTTATTCAGGATTAATTGTGTGTGTGTGCGTGTTGGTGAGCATCCTTGAGAAGATGTGACCACCCGTTGACACTGTGTGCTGGACCCCAAGCAGTCAGAAGCTGTTCAACCCTCCCATACTTGCAATGTGGTTTCTGCTGGACTTTCCCCCTCCCAGAGACTGCATCAAGACATAGCCTTGAGACAGTGAAGTGGTGTTGAGATCTTATGGACCGTATACATGGCTGAATCCAGGTAAGGCTTCTATGAAACTTGAGAATTTGGTAGGTGGGTGCAGAGAGCTACTCACCCTGCAGCCTTCCAAGACAAATCTCAGGTGTAAGTGTTTAGTGAACATGCCGCCTTTCAGTGTGGAGTGGCCTCCCTCTTTCTTTTATCTCTCCCTGTCCTTCATGTATGGGACACAGGTTTCAGGTTACATCCATTGGTTCTCAAGGAGCTTGTGAACCAAGTGTGTATGTGTTTTCACTTGATAATGGGTTGTGCACCCAATTAAATTTTAAATTCCCTTTATGATTTGTTTGAATTATAGCTGCTACATAAGCTTTGTAGAAGATCACGTGTTTCATCATTTTTTGGTATGTATGGATCTATTGATAAGCAAAAGTAAGTAATAAGAACATCTTACTACTATTAAAGATATGACATGGTCAAGTTTTTGTGTGTTTTTGAATTGAGACTATTTTGAAGATGGAGAAAAGCTTTTTTTCATTTCATTGGAATTAGAAAGCTTCAGAAAGACTAAGAAGTCATGGAGAAAGTTTTGAGAAAGATAGGAGAATGATGGATGAAGCTAGGTTCTGAAGTGACTGCATCTAACTCATTTCCATAGATGTTCTATGAATAAGACGCATAGCATTTTGGTTTGCCAGTTTTTAATGATGTGCTTTCAAAGAGTGATTCATTTATCTTTCAGATTATAATTACATCATCCACATAACATTTAAAACAAATCTGATTTATGAATAAAAATGAGTTAAGTGGTACTTGAAAAAATAAACAATAATTGGATCAATAATGAAAAATTTGAATAAATGTACAAAATATATGACTGTGATTTAACCATCATTTTTTTACACAAGTGGGATATATCAGTTTCCCTTCCTGACAAGTTACTCGAAATGTATGAAGAGGTGACTTTATACGATATCCATGTTTACACACAAATTCAACAGTGTCATCTGTTTTAGAATAAATTTTTTTCTGGTAAAGCCATCGTAATTGAATGTTATGTTTTTCCATGATTTCTTCTGAAATTATACATGCATCTGAAGGTTAAAGATATGAACATAAAGCATTAAGTAGTATACAAATATTTTCCACAGAATTTCAGACTTTGAAATAGAATCATCTACACGGGTTCAGGACCTCATTCTTAGCACCTTTTCCAAATCAACTCATTTAAAATCTATCATGTAGACAAAGCATTTAAAATTATTAACGATGTAAAAATGAGGTACCATGTTTAATGTGTGATAATTAAATATAATAATTAAAGATTCATAATGTCAATTATCACATGAAGATTGTTCATCAAGGACTCTTTTGTTACTTAAACAATAATTTTTCTATTTCCTCACAACTAGTGCTGGTAGTCAAGCATTCAACAATGGTTACTTGTTGGTATCCTTGAAAATTACCATAAACAGCAAGACATCATACTCATTATAATGATTTTCTCAGGATCCATGAGAATATTAAAATATTTACCTAAGCATTTTGGTGGTTCTGACCATTCTCCATTCCTACATATTATATTCCTGTTTCCCTGAAGTTCATAAAAGGACTGGCATTGATACTCCACTGTTGATTCTGGAGCATACACCGGTAATGGGAATGAGGTAATATCTCCATTGTCAATAGGTGGAGGGGGTCCACATTTCCCTTTAGAATCTAAAAAATACGTTATTTAATTTATTGAAAGACCAAAGAAAAACACAGGTTAAACAAAGCAAATAAAACTATAGCATAATATGTAATATAACACAAAAACTAGTGATTTCTGATGACAAAAATGATTCACTAAAATTTTAATCACTGAAAATGAGTCCTATTTTAAGCACTTGCTTCACCCTACATGAAAACACACATAAAACATTAAGAAATATGTCTGCTTTACAGTATTCTGGTACTAAAAGATGTTTCTCTTAGTGAATATATCCTGGGCAGATGGATAGCTAAGATAAACAGAAAAAAATTTTTGTTTTTATATACAACATATGGCAGCATCTATTGTATCTTTAGTCATTTTTTATTGATTTTCATTTCTACTACAAAGACATATGGACTCCTTTAACAAAATTCAAAGAATTGCGAATTTATAAGATGGGAAAGGGAATTGCTGGCTTCCTGTTCTGGACAAGATGAAGTACAAATATTTCTGTTTATACCTTCTGCTAAGTTAAAATTCTGAACTAACATTAGAGATGTATGAAAGATGTAGAGAAGAAGTCAGTCTGCTTAAGGACCTTGGAATTAAGAAATCACATTGCAGCAAGTTGTTCGGGCTTTCATGTTTGCCTTCTTTGTATCCTGGACTAGACACCAAAGAAAACTGTAACCCAGAAATGATGTCAACTTTGGGCAAATAAATTTCCCAAGAGCCTGCTCTCTAACCAAAGGCCCAGGAAAGGAGCAGCTTATCAGGAAAGAAACATTTTTTTGTAATACCTGAATTACTCTGGAAGAAACTCATAGATAAAGCCTTAGACAACCTAGACTTCTACCCACACCATGAGGGGACCAGACATCTCTTCTTTTCCTGTGATGCCAGTGGGAGCCAAGTAGGAAGGCTGGGTGGCATAATGGAGGCCTGATCAATACAAGATTTCAATAGAAATCTAAAGTCTTAAAACATAATACCCAAAATATCCTGAATACAATTGAAAGAGTTATACTAAGCACCAAGGAAAATCTCAAAAGAGAAAAGACAATCAATAGAAGACAACATTGAAATGACATAGATGTTGGAGTTATGTGACAATGTTTATGTGCCCATCCTGCCATTTTTCAGTCTTTTAAAAGATGTGGTGGAAATTATAAGACTGAAAAATATAGTAACAGAATAAAAACTATTCACTGGATGGCCCCAATAATAGATTGCAGATGACATAAGATCAACTTGAAGCTAGAACAAAACAAATTACTCTTTAAAAATAGATTGAAAACAAAACAAAACAAAATGGACAGAGCTTCAGGGGCTTGTGGGAAGATAGCAGAATGGACAGCAGAAAGAGAAAAGAAAGGGGTTAGAGATGGAAGAAAAAATTAAGTAGTAATGGCTAAAAGTTTCACACTTGGGCATAAGGCATAAACCTACATAGTAAGAAAGGTGAATGAATTCCAAACAGGAGAAATCCAAAGAAATTCATGCCAAGTTACAGCATAATCAAACTGCTGAAAACAGAAGAAAATGAAAAAAATCTCAAAAGGAGCTAGATAGAAATTATTCAAACCTCCCAGACAAATGAAAACTAAGAGAATCTGTCTAGGGCAGACATATTATTAAGGAATTGCTTAAAAACACTCTTCAAATAGAAAGGAGAGGGTAACAGAAGGAATCCTGAGACTTCAGGAAGAAAGGACGAACAATTGAATTTATAAAAATTAATAAAAATAAGTTCAAATCTTCAAATAGAGAAAAAGGATAACAGAAGGAAGATTACGAGATTTCAGGAGTGAAGAATAACCAAAGGAATTGACAATGGGGGTAAACATTATAAAAGAATCTTTTTCCTAATGAGTTCATTAAATTATGTTTAATGTTCATGCAAAATTATACCATTTGATATGGTGCTCAATGAAAGTATAGGAAAGTACCTAAGACATTTATGTTTGAAGTGTAGGGAGAGTAAATGCATCTAAGTAGAAGTAAGGTTTCCACATTTAATTTGAAGTTGTAAAATTTCAATACCAGAAATGAGTGATAAGCTACAAATGTATGTCTTAATACCTACAGCAATCACCAATAAAATTATAAGGACATATACTCAAAAACAATACAGATATATCAAAATAAAATTATTTTTAAGTGTTCAGTAAAATCCATAGGGAAGGCAGGAAAAGGAAACAGGAATGAGAAATGGTGAAAACATGCAAAACAAATAACAAAATGGCTGACATAGCCCCTAATATACTAATAATTACTTTAAATGTAAAAAGTCTAAATACTCAAGTTAAAAGACTGAAAAATGGCAGGATGGACACATAAACAAGACTCAACTATATGTTGTTTTCAAGAAACTCTCTTCAAATATGAAAACATAGGCAGGATTAAAGTAAAGGACTGGAAAAACTATCTACCATGCAAAAGTTAATTTGAAAAACTAAAGTGGCTAAAATAATAGCTCCTTTGTTGACTCCCCTTAATTCCTGAACTCTAAATAGTGGAGTGTCCTATAATGAAATGTGTATACAATAATTTCCTGGATGAGCTCAGGTAGTAGCAAACCTTTAAAAATAATCCATATGCTGAAGAAGCCCAAATTTATCCCATATTATACGATCATGCCTCTGCTGCTTATTGCATGAAATCCAGAGTGGAATTCCATAGGGCTGTCATATGTCCTTAAGATATCTTTAATACATTTATCTCTCCGGAAATAACTGAGTGTCTTCATGCTTAAGTTAAGGGATTTTCCATGAATCCAACTGTCTAATATGTATTTATTTATTAAATAAATACACCATGTATTATTTATTTCAGTCCACCAAAGAATTAAATTTTAAGTACCATCATTTTCTTTGTATTAAAAAATTATTCCATAAGAACTACTTTGTTATATATTTTTATTAAAATATTTTGTCCCTAATGTCTTTTAAAATTTGGGAAGAATTAAGATATTTTACCTTTGCACATAGGTGGTTGTGTCCAGGTTCCATTTAAGCACATCACTTCTTCTTCCCCAAACAGGTCAAAAGGTTTTGTGCATTCATACCGTACTCTGTCACCAGATAGATACCTTTGCAACTCATTTTGTATAACAGCATTTTCCACTCTGGGTGGGTTCATACAGGAAACATCTGAAGAGAAAGAAAAAAATATCTATAATGCAATGATCATTTTGAGTAGCAAATTAACAAATAGGATACGAAATATATTTCAAGAGGGATTTAAAAAAGATCAATAGCTAATTTGTCACTAAGACTGCTAATTTTAAGAAGTTTACATTAAGTTTGAGGAAAAGGAGAGCAGTTTTCTAATTTTAAATTTTAAAGTAATTTTAGAATGTTAATAATTTTTAAATAGTAAACTGTTTTAAATATTTCTAAATAATATTTTTAAAAACATTAAAAAATTTCAATCTTATTTAGGCTTCTATACCTTAAACTCCCTCTTGCATCCTTCACTAGAAGGTTGATGGACATTTTTTAGGCCAGTGAAATTGAGTTTTTGTGGACTCTGAATTTAGTAAAATCTGTATTATAAATTATATAAATCAAAGTGAATTTTTAATAAACCACAATAAAATCATAGTAAAAACCTATTTGGCATCAGAATTTGGTTTACAATCTTCTGTTTATGAGTTATAGTTTTAGACCCCCTGACAAATAAAAACAATAGGTTATTCCTTAGAGAATAAATCAAGACTTAACACTCTCGGAAGAATACCATAATTGAAGATGATTAATCAAAGGATCTAAACAGGAGATGTAGAAAGAATCTCTTGGGAATTGCTAAAAATAATTTTGGGGTTGTATTCAAAGTTTTTGATTCAGTAAGTCTGAAATAAGCCTGTTCATTTTTATTTCTAACAATTTTCTAGAAGATGTTAATGCTGCTATTTCAGGAACCATAATTTGAGGATTACTGGGTTATAAGATTAACCACTGAGTACATAAGTCCAACCCTTAATGTGAAGTACAACCTGCTTTGACCAGGCCTAAAAAAAAAATCTATGTCCATTTTTGTAATGATACTAAAGGCAATTCTATATTAGTTAATACACTTTTATAAATAAAATTTTAAAATTTCACTGAAGTACCTCTGCATGTTGGCCTTCCTATCCATTTCTTCTTAATACACTGCACAGTATTGGACCCATCCAATTGGTAATACATTGGACATTTATAAGCCACTTGTTCTCCTGACTTATATGATTCCTTCTTTGGGCCTATGAGTATAGCATTATCAAAGCTTGGTAAGCCAGAGCAATCCATTTCTGAAAGAAAAATAATATGTACTTGTTCAGTAAATCTTTAAAACTACATAATAGCCAATAACTATATTCTAGAATATGGGTACATATCAAACCAATGAATACTGTACAATAATTTTCTGACAGCTGAAAAAATTATGTCTTCATTCAATTACATTGAATGGTTCTACATTTATCAAAAGTATAACATGGGAATGCTGATAGTAAAAGCCTGAAAAGATATGGATATATGTAATACTTGAAACCATACTTCTTGCATTCAAATTCGTTTTTGCTCTAAGGAACATATACATCTAAATTGTGTATATTTTCTATTCTTTTGATTCTATCAAAATCTGTTACCTTTAATTTTGTGAAATATCTTACAAAATTATATATTTATGAGGAGATAACTGATTAACAATAAATTGAATAATGATGAGATTGATGAACAGGGGTCCACTATGATAATATGCATAGAGATGAGAAATTTGAGAATATATGTCAGAGGATTCCAAAGTGCACAGAAAATGACATTAAAGTGAGATCATTTAGCTCATGTCATCAAACTTATTATACTAGGGCTATTAATTCTCTACCAGAATCCAGCACTTTTCAGATATGCCTTGTTAAATTCTAGAGTTACTGCTTAGTTTCATATTTTTACCATTTGTGCTCTGAACTAAGTATATTTATTAGCCTTAGAACAAAATGAAATATACTATACTTTTGCATTCTGGTGGATGGGACCATTTTTCTCCTAAACATTTTATAGATGCAGGTCCATCAATCCCAAAACCTTCAGCACAGTTGTATGTAACTTCTTCTCCGTATTGGTAATTGTCTAACTTGTGAGATAAAACACTGTGTGGAATCAAAGGTGGTGGTTCACAAGGAAGTCCTAAAATAAAATGACAGAATATGAATATTCTTATATGTATACCTATGTATATCAATACCTATATGAATAGGTAGGTTTAAATTGGTCACATATCCAGTTTTAATTTTTTTAAATCCCAGAATTAAAAGTAATTCCATAATGAAACAATGAAATTAAAAATAAGATTCATTTAATTTAATAAATGTATTTGGTAAAATAACTTAATGATTTAGAGGTAAGTGATTTTGTGTATTTAAGAATCTAAAGGATTCTGTCTCATGATTTTGATGACAATTGACTATTTTTAATGAATTGAATTGAAAATAGACTCTCAGTTTGTGTACTGTCCTTACCTACACACTGAGGTGGGGAACTCCATTTTCCCATGTGGCATGTTACTCCGTCTTCTTCAGAGATCCTGAAACCATCTTCACAAATGTAACTTAGTTTGGTGCCATGTGCATAAAGCTTAGGTTCAAATGTTTCTTTGCTTATTTCTGAAGAGCTAGATAATTTAATTGTTCCATGCTCTACAGGAGGTGGTTGAGAGCATGAGATTTTTTCTATATGAAGAACAGAGATCAAAGGGTCAAGCACAGATACAATATTTAAACTGAAAAAACAGAATCAAATACTATTTGAGATTTTAAAATAAGGGTAATTTGAATAAACAGAATTTTTTAAAATCCAAAAAGTATTTGAAAATTGCAGGGATACATTTCCACAACATCTATGCTACTATCTTCTGTTCAATATGTTCCTTCACGTTTGTCTATTAATCATGAGGAGTAAAATAGGCATAAACAGGAGTTTATCTGTATTTACATAGTACCCCAAGGTTTTTGTCTGTATTTATTTCATAGTGGAAATGAAGGAATGCTGATGATTTTTATGCCTAGATTGTAGCTTATTGTTTCAAGATAAAATGGAATAGATATAGAGAATGGCCTTCCTCTTGCTCATTTACTCAAAGTGCAGGGGAATATCAACCTCATTTGACAGAATGTTATGATGGAAGTCATTCACTCCTTACCTACACAGCGTGGGATTGACTGCCATATTCCATTTTTGCACACGATTTCTTCTGCTTCCTGAATTAGATAATTTTCTTGACAGAAAACAGATATTTTTTCTCCATCCCAATAATTCACTGTAGTTGTCATATCTTCAGCATTGGGAATCTGAGGTGGAGGTGGGCATAATTGTTTTTCTACTTCTAAAAATATTAAAATTAGATTTTTTGATTAAAATCAGTGGTTAAAATATCAAGAGGATAATTGAATAAATAAAAAAGTAATGTATCATAAATGACTAAATGATAATGTTGTAGTCTATGTTTAAGTGCTTTACTCTTCACCTTGTATGGCACTTTAATATATGACATTTGGTTTATATTCTATGGCCTTTCTTATAGTTCCTTCCTTTTATTATCTGTGATTGGTCTTGCATAATTTATGTAAAAGTGATTTTAATTATTTCTAACCATTAGGATGTTCTTACAGAATTGCTCACTCAATAACAGGCACTAAAGAAAGACTGATATCAGATCTTTTTTATAGATAACCATGATCAAATGTATTGCGGGATTGTATTAAAAACCTCACAAGGGTTCTGCCAATGTAGTTAATGTTCAAGTAATTCGATACAGATTCTTGCCCAAGGCATGAATTAGATGTGTTCACTAGTGATTAATAGCGTATTTAAAGTTCAACAGTATTCTGGAGGCACTGTTACTAGCTTGCCTGCATTACTAAGGGATATGTAGATCGATGAAATTCACCTGACAGCGTGGCTTTCATTACATAACCAGCATGTTATAAAATACTCCTCTGTAAACTTGTGTTCAAGTTCCCATAAAACTGAGATACCTCAGCTCTATCATGGCAGTTAATAATCTGAAGACAAAGTATGCCCTTTCAAGTGAAGAGAAACTGAAGGACAATAGTTGGGAGATTTTGGACCTCTCTAAGATTCCTTGTTTTGCTTTCTCATGCGGTCCTGTATCTTATTTCATAAGTGTGCACAAAGAAGTCTTATAAGCCCTTTTAGTTGTCTAACATTTTTTATTATATTCATGGAAATACTTGACTGAATACATTTCATTCATGCTTACTCTCAAAGTTTCTATTTATATCTGTCAATAAGAGTATGCTATATTTCACTAAAAATGTATTTTATTATTTCTGTTTTAAATTTCTTGGCATTTTTTTCAATTTCTTTTCTTCTATCTCTGATGTTTAAACATTTTTGTATTAATAATCTTAATTTGTACTATTTCTTGATAAATCTTGTCAGAGGTTGGTCGGTCTACTAAATTTCCCTGCAAATCAACTATTTTTGCTTTCTTTTTAGCTTATAATTTATGCTTTAGTTATTCTTTCCTTCTAAGGTTTTTGGGTGTATGTCCTTTTCTAGATCCCAGGTTGTAATACCTATTACTTTAATTTGTCCCTTGTTTTAAAAAGCATGTTTCAGACCTATCTATATCTGTGCTTGTGCTGTGTCCCATAGATCTCAATGTGTACTGCTATCATTGTCATTTTATTTAAAGTATTTACTTTTATTTTCCAGATTTGTGAAGTGGATAAATAATGTATGTAGCTAGCTCTCATTTTATTTTTGTTTTTAATTTAGAAATAAGAGTTTGAAGGCATTGATTTCTTGAAATTTTTTGGGAATTTATCACATAGAAATGATCAATTGTTTTAAATTAAATGACTACATTAAATAAGACAAATATAGACTTCAAGACAGGAGTATTAAAAACATAAAGAAATATTTTATAATTATAAGAAAAGGTTAATTAACAGTGACAAAGCAATCATACATGCATATGTATCTAAAAATATATCAATAATGAAACAAAGATAAAGAGAATAAAAGGAATAGACAAATCCACAAACCTACTTAGCAATGCTCATAGCCTTCCTCTGACTGAAAGAACAATTACATAAAAAAAATTTCAAAAGGCAGATAAATTTGAAGATCACCTTACCTTGAACTACTTTAACCTAACCAAATACATAGAGTATAACCTAAACTTTTATATGAAAATGGAACAATCCTAAACAGAAAATATTATGAGCCAATAAAAAGAACTGAATACATTTTAATCTTTTAAAATTTATTTAAGCTCTTTTATTTTTTCGATATCATTAATATACGATCACATGAGCAAGTTTTCTAGGTGGTTTGTTATATAGCTGACTAATACACATGACACAATTAATATTTAGAAAGTGCTTTGGTTAGTTTCTAAATTAGCTTTCAGCTTGAAAATTACTTGTAATAATAAATAGCTAAATTTTTAAAAATACACAACAATACCACTTTTACAAGTTAGGAAGAAATAGAATATATTTCTGAAAATATCAACAGCTTACCTGTGCAGGTTAGTTCAGGATCCCATCTTCCATTTATGCAGATTGAGTACTTGTATTCTGATTTTCCCCTACATTTGTAACTTATATTATAGTTATGCTCAAATTCAGTTTTAGCTGGTAGGTTTGCCTCATGTGCAATTAATTTTGAAGATTTACACTTCTCAAGTCCATCTGTTGCTATAAAATAAAAATATTCCCTTGAAAAGACTAATGATGAGAATCAAAGCAACTATTCCTACAAAATAAAAGCTATGGAGTCAATAGTATAATGAAATTAGAAGTTATGCCGATAAATCTCACCAGCCAATTTTGATCATATTGCATTAGATGGGTTATTATGTATGAACATAAGTCATGTCTATTCTTTTAACTTTCAGAAAAAATATCCATTGTAAAAGACATTCTGCACTTTGTGGATTAAAAGAGCATGAGAATTTTACTTTTTTGGTTTATCTACATAGTGAAAAGTCATCACCTGACTTAATATATGGAAATGTCTAAATTCATTTGTTTCTTGATCTCAAGCATCTCTACATTATTTTAAACCCACAATTTAAAAGCATTAAAATAAAACAATTATCTGTTGGAAAAGAACATATGAAATCGCTTGCTTAAATATACTTTTTCAAGAGAGGTAATGTATAACAAGAAATGTACACCTAAGATATATTGTATAGAAAGTGATTATTTAAGCAGATATTTTGCAGGGTAACCAAAAGAGAGAGATAGAATCTTGGAATAAGGAAAGGGTGCTTTTGAAGAATATAGCCAGTGGTTCTATAACATATTTCTGTGTTAACAGCAACTTCACTAGCTGGGGTGAGGATTTAATAAAGTGTGTAACAGTGGAACCACTGTGTTATATACTTGAAACCAATACAATATTGTGTATTAGTTATACTTCAATAAGAAATTTGGTACTTAAAGTTGTGACCTGTTTTCTATATATAGTCTTAGAATCTTTGAGAACCTATTTTATACACCAGATCATCCTATAATCCGGTGATATTATAATGCTATAATAAATTTTTTCTGACTGGTGTGAGTTAAACATGGACTATAACAACTTTTTTTATTTAGCTATATATTTCAAAATTTCAATGCAAATGGGAGCATTTTTTGAATTTGATAAAGTATCATTATAGGTTTTTGGTAGTATTTGTTAATGATTTGTTAATAATTGGCCAAAGAAAAATAATGATTTTCTAATATAGTCTTAAAAAAAGAATAAAATAAAGGACATTATTTCAAAATACACTAGACGCTTAAGACTTAGCACAGTTTTTAGGACTTGTCCAAAGAGTTGAGGAGGACAAAACAAAGTATTCTCCAAGGGATGGTAACTGAAGGAAAATCTATAATCAAAAGGAGTGGTGGTGGTGGTTGTCATTGACCTGTGATTTCTGAAAGGATATCTTTGTTGATTAGGTGAAAACAAACATATAGAGAAGAGTGAAAAATTAGACTGGATTTGTAAAATTCTATTGTGAATTTACATTTTTAGTTTATATTTTTTGCTTGTGGAAACACAATGAACTATAAACAAATGTTTGGAGTCATTATAATTTAAGACCTGACATTTTCAAAAGTATCTCTTAATAGCAAAAATATGGTTGCAAATATAATTTTTAAAGTAAAAACATTAAATTTTGTGAAATGTCAATTTAAGAAGTACAGTTCTCACCAATGCACTGAGGAAGCTGGGTCCATGTCCCACTGGTACATGTGATTGATCTGTGTCCAATCATCGTAAATCCTTCCCTGCAGTTAAACTCCACGGAATCTCCATGATGATGGGGAGGGGTGGGTGGCTCAGCATACCCATGATCAAGTCCAGGTATATCTCCACAGGTACTATTGTCCTCTGTGAAAATTTCATTAAAATGTTTATTTTTAAAATATAATTTATGTGTTTATATGATTACAAACAAAAAGTGTTCACTTAAGTATAAATGTTAATGTTTTATACATTACCAATACACATAGGCAAGGTTGTCCATTCTCCATTAACACATTGAATTTTATTAAAACCTTTCAACAGAAATCTAGGATTGCAAACATATTCTACCACATCACCATGTCTATATTCTTCTTTCTGTGTTTCTTTAACTTCCCCATTGGAGAGTTGAGGAGGGGGAACACATGATTTTACTTGCCCTATAGGAGAAATATTGTGTCAATAATGGTTAAAGTGTCTATTTTACAACTTAAAAACTGAGTTAAATATTTGAAAGTTTTTTCTTTAATCAATTTATTATTTATAGTACAATTTATTATAGCCTTCTTAAAAAATGAGAGAAGGATAGTGTTTGCACCAGATTCATGTCTCTCAGTTCTATTACTTAACGTGAATTAGGAAGTATATTCAAGCCCAGAAATTGATGTTGATAATCTAGATATTCTAAAGATGTGTGCAAACCAACTAAGAAATATGGCTATGCAAATTATAACAATAATCATTCTCCAAAGAAACATTTTTATCAAAGCTTTTTGAAAAAATGCCATCATTTGAGGTAAACATTTGGTCAACATATTTTAACTTAAAGTCATACATGTCATTTATTTCACTGTAAGATGTTTGAATATTGTTCAGACACAGTAAGTGAAACTTGAGATAAGGTACATGCTGTATAAAATGTCCATTAATAATGGTGGAATCGCAGTCAAAAGGAAAAGTAAGAAAAGAAGTCCCTCCATTGTCAGACACTATGTGGGTTCTAAATATCTATGGATACTTCCACTACATATTCCAATAAATAACTGGATATTGAATTCTTAAATAAGTAAGTCTGAGTTATTTAGTACCCAACACATGTTCTTCATGGATATATTGAATTAGATTATAGCCACAGTGGAAGCCAACAGAAATGTCAGACAAGGAAAAAAGATTGATAACACAGTTCTAATTCTTGCTTCAGCAATTGTAAGATAAATATGCACCTTTACATGTTGGAAGATTAGGGGACCATCCAAAGTGGTAGCACTGAATTGAATTTGATCCAACTCTTGTAAGTCTTTGTCTGCAGGAAAATTTTAGCACATCTCCAACTTTATATCTCTCTTTCTTGGGCTCAGCAATTAAGTATTTTTCTATTTTGGGTATCTTGCATTCTCTTTCTAAAAGGTCAAATAATTTAGTGAGAATGTATAATTAATCATTGCCAAAGTAAACTTTATGTGTCACAAAAAATGAGGGGCTGAGTATGATATATACATAAGGGCATTCTGATTACATTACATTCTCTCATATTAATAAAAAAATAATACTACAACTTTTAAATTGTATGGTTATATAAAAATTGCCATTTTATTTAATATAAATTGTGGAACCAGAACACTCAAAAGAGGCGTTTTAGTTAGAAAAACTTTAAAAATCACTTAATTAATATTATGTTATATGTGAAGAAATCAAACTCAAACTATCAAACTGAAACAGGAAAGAAAATGAAGAAAACATGTTCAATATCATATAGCTGTGTATATTCTGTATGTCCTGAATATTTATATATTATACAGCTACTTATTCTTTGTTTTTGGTGTCTTTAATATACAATTACACTAGCAACATTGTGGTTACTATATTCTCCCCATTATCAAGTCTCCACCACATACCCCATTACAGTCACTGTTCATCAGCAGAGTAAGATGCTATAGAGTCACTACTTGTCTTCTCTGTGCTATACTGCTTTCCCTGTGCCCCTTATTCCCCTTATCCCTCCCTTCCCACCCATCCTTCCCAGTCCCTTTCCCTTTGGTAACTGTTAGTCCCTTCTTGGGTTCTGTGATTCTGTTGCTGTTTTGTTCCTTCAGTTTTTGCTTTGTTCTTATACTCCACAGATGACTTATATATATCACATCTTCTTTATCCATTCATCTACTGATGGGCACTTAGGTTGTTTCCATTTGTTGGCTATTGTAAATAGTGCTGCAATAAACATAGAGGTGCACATGTATTTTTGAAATTGGGATCCTGCATTTTTAGGGTAAACTCCTAGGAGTGGAATTCCTGTGCCAAATGGTATTTGTTTTTATTTTTTTGATGAACTTCCATATTGCTTTCCACAATGGTTGAACTAATTTACATTTCCACCAGCAGTGTAAGAGGGTTCCCCTTTCTCCACATCCTCACCAACATTTATTATTGTCTTTTGAATAGTGGCCATCCTAACTGGTGTGAGGTGATATCTCATTGTGGTTTTAACTTACATTTCCCTGATTATTAGTGATGTGGAGCATCTTTTCATGTGCCCGTTGGCCATCTGAAGTTCTTCTTTGGAGAAGTGTCTGTTCAGCTCCTCTGCCCATTTTTTAATTGGCTTATTTGCTTTTCTGTTTGTTGAGGTGCATGAGCTCTTTACATATTTTGGATGTCAACCCCTTATCAGATATGTCATTTATGAATATATTCTCTCATACTGTAGGATGCCTTTTCATTCTACTGATGGTGTTCTTTGCTGTACAGAAGCTTTTTAGTTTGATACCATTCCATGTATTCATTTTTGCTTTTGTTTCCTTTGCTCAAGGAGAGGCGTTCAGGAAATAGTTGCTCATGTTTATATTCAGAATATTTTTGCCTATACTGTCTTCGAAGAGTTTTATGGTTTCATGACTTACATTCAAGTCTTTGATCCATTTTGAGTTTAGTTTTGTGTATGGGGATAGGCAATAATCCAGTTTCATTCTCTTGCATGTAGCTGTCCAGTTTTGCCAACATCAGCTGTTGAATAGGCTATCATTTCCCCATTGTATATCCATGGGACCTTTATCATATATTAATTGACCATATATGCTTGGGTTAATATCTGGACTCTCTATTCTGTTCCACTGGTCTATGGGTCTGTTCTTGTGCCAGTACCAAATTGTCTTGCTTACTGTGGCTTTGTAGTAGGGTGTGAAGTTGGGAAGCGAGATACCCCCTGTTTTATTCTTCCTTCTCAGGACTGCTTTGGCTATTTGGGGTCTTTTGTGGTTCCATATGAATTTTAGAACTACTTGCTCCAGTTTGTTGAAGAATGCTGTTGGTATTTTAATAAGGATTGCATTGAATCTGTAGATTACAGCTACCTATTCTTATTATACCTAGTAGTTTTTACTAGTTTTTAATAAATTGTTAATCTGATTCAAATTAGGAATATATAAAATTACCTCTTAAGACTTGTAAAATGTCACATTCGTTACATATTAAACATTATCAAAGAGTGCATTTTTCTTATTTGGAATCTTCCTATCTTGCTAATTTATAAAATTAAAAATGATATTTAAAAATCAGAATAATACTACACAAAAGTCAAGTATTAACACATGATCATAAAATTAGTTGTGTTATCTAATTTTAAAGTATTGACATAAAAAATAACTCAGTAAATTTGCTTTTGTTTTTGTTTCAATATTGTTCTGTAGCTTTGTTAAGATCACACTTAAATGAGAACCACTGGGATTCTTCTCCTAGAATTCTATTCCAATGTTCTACAAATAAGTTATTCTATTTGTATGTGTCTTTTTTTGTGCTCATTTTAAATAAATTATCTATCTCATCATATTGTAAAATAACAAAAAAATGGGTCTTGGCTGTTGGCTATTTTCCAACTGTTTTATTTATACAAAGATGTGGATCTAAGAAATGTGATTTAAAGAAGAGTTTGAAAGGGCACATCCGGAATTAGAGATATTTGTCTTTATCTAAAGTCAAAACCATAAATCCTAGCACTGATAGTTGTAAATATTAGTATGATTTTTTCACTTTGAAGTGTACATTTATTTAAGGTTGCTATAAGCACTGTTTGCCTTAAGTGGTTTATGGTAACAACAGTTCTTTTAAATTTTCCCTGAAATAAAGAACTCCCAGGGCAGATGAGATAATCTCAGGTATCAGCCAGGCTGTGTGCAATTTTCTGCTACATGGCTGAGGTAAGTTATTTGAGAAGAATATTAAGCTGTTTGTTTATTTAATCTCTGTAGGCCTACACTGTGCTGGTAAATTCCTGCCAATGTGTTCTAAAGATCACAAGTGTTTATAAGATTTGCAGTAGAAAGTCTCATCAGTTTTGATTTGCCTGTCCCTCTAACTTCTTCACATTTTCCTGTCATGTGGTGACATTGAAAGACCATGGGAATTGTATATTCATGACTTTGTATTTCTTTGAGAGAAGCCTTCTCAAAATTATAAAAGCTCTGACTTCACAAAACCTCCCTCTCATTCCAAAAAGAAATTAATAATCATCTTAAAACCTTCCCTCTTTTACTTATAGAAAAATCCGGTCTTTATGATCCATTCCTTGCTATACTTCCAATGTCATTTTATATCTCTCTTCCCCTGTCAATCCAGACTCCAGGCTTTATGATCTTTGAATGTTTTACAAGGTTAAGTTCTGTGCTGCCTCAGTTATTGCACAGACGGCTATGTCATGAATGATTTTGAACACTCCTTTTTATTACAAGTCTTCTTGTATAAAATATATTACTCAATACAGTTCTATTTTCTAAGTTTCATTGATTTTTTTTGTTTCTTTGAACATAGTTTATATACAAAATGCATTTAGAATACTTTTATATTATTATTTGGCTTAATTCAATATGTTTTTTTCATCCTGGAGTGAAAGCCCTCAAAAGACAGAACCCTGTTTGAATTTTTCACCACTTTATCTTGGCCCATAATAAGTGTTTGTTGAGAGCTTGAGTGAATCAAATTTACCTGGACCCTAAACACCACTAAGGAAATCTATCATATCTTTTTAGTCACTGTGTGACCCTCTCTCTCAAGTCTCTATGTTCAATCTTTTCTTCCCTCCGTAGCATTCTTTCTCCTCCTTTCTCCTTTTACAACTCAATTTTAGACCTTCTCATACTTTGAAGGAAAATGGAAACTATCAGCTCCTGCCTCCTTTCGGCATTAGATTTACACATTTTCCTTCTTTCCTCCTGTTAAAAAGTCTAAAGCAGCCCTGTTGCCACCAAAGCCTAATACTTCAGTGCAATGGTTCCCTTTGGCTGCCACCTTCACAGGGACCGACTGCTTCACGTGTCCAGTCTCTGCCTTCTTCCCCCTCTCCTATGTCCTCTTCAGCATTCAGTATCCTCTCCTCTCCCATCTATTTTTTTAAATAATCCTTTCTGTGCATGGTTTTCTCCAGCAATATTCCGAACTTCCTGTTACCGGGCACAACAAAGCTTTTTGAAAGAGTGATGTACACAAACTGTATTGAATTTCTAACCAATGATTCTTTTCAGCAGGTTCTATGTAGGTTCTGTAGTATCTACTCCATCCAAAACTGTTTGTGTTCCACTTATTGTTGGCCTGTACACAGCCAAATCTACCACATTTTTATAGTCTTCTAATTGCATATATCAACTGAATTAGAAATATTCACCACTCTATCATAATAATAGAATTAGATTACAATTTCCTTGAGTTTAATGTGTGGCAGGCACTGTGGCAAGGACTTTATATGGATAATTTAGTCTAATAACTAAGACAATCCTTTGAAATACTAGGACATTTGTAAATATTAAAACATTTTGCAGATAGAAAAGAATGAATAAATCTTCAAATAGACTTGGTTGTTGCCTAAGATACATATTTAGCAATGGTGAAAATTGAAATTAGAATGCAGCCAGGCTGACTCCTCAGCATTCACTATTAATCAATCTACTGTACTTCCTTTTCCTTTAATCATTTTCTCTTCTCCACGTCTATGACCACATTCATTCCAACTTTTGTTTTTCTTTTTATCTTGTGGTTCTCTGGGTCCTCCTTCTTTTGTGTTTACTTGCCACCTGCTCCTCTTCTGTCTGACATCTCAATATTGGAATGCTTCAGGGCTTAGTCTTGAACTCTCCTCTGCTTTCATTCTGTATTCTTTTCCAATTTGATATAATCATTTATGTGGTGATAATCCCAAGTGTATATCTTTTGGCTAAACCTATTCAACTCTAGTTTGCATATCTAATTTCAATCATCCATGTACACCTCAACCCTAATACAACTGAGTCAAAAGTTGTTAAATATTTCCCAAAGTGATCTTTCCTCTGGCAGCACCACCTTGGAAAAGCATTGCCATTTACCTGCTTGCTTATGAAAAACAAGCAAACATGTGAGCCCTTTATTGTTACTTTCCTAT